GATAAAAATAGAGTAAAAATAAAAAACTAAAATAAAAGTTTTTTGTATGATTAATCATCAACTCAATAATCTCTTTTAAATAAAATATTATCATTGTTTTCTTCAATCCAGGCTGTGGCCACGTAATCTACTATATGTGAGTCATAAACACATTAATCTAGTATAACACCTCTATTTATTAGTATCTTGAAGTCTTCAAAAGATGAGTGATTATTCAATTCATAAAAGAATTTTACATATGAATTTACTTGCAATATGTCCATTAAACTTTTAGTTGTGGTTCGACTCATATTCACGTTAACTTTTAGTTATTGTTTCACTCATATTTATATTATATAATATTCTCGTTCGACTCATATTCACGTTAACTTTTAGTTATTGTTTCACTCATATTTATATTATATAATATTCTCATTCAATTTTATAGCTCATTCACTCATATTTATATTATATAATATTCTCATTCAATTTTATAGCTCATTCTCTGTATCATAGAAGTAAAACTGAAAGTATGAAGAATTATTTTTTTACGAAATTAGAGTAGAGAGATTATGATATATTTCGCCATGTGCTCTAAATATAAATTTTATTTTCTTTGATACAATGTCCCTATCAAATCTTACCCCAAATGATGTAAATAAAAATACTATTATAACTCACTTGCCTAGGATAATTGTATTGTATATAAGATACATAACTCATCTGGAATATCCACATTTGCTATGTGAATTTTATTGTTGTGAGAACAACATGTTAGAGGCTCGTGTTCAAATTTTTTGGCTTTATAAAAGACATAAGAATTTGGAGTGCATATCTTATATATCGTAAATAACATATTGATTCATGAAGAATTTTTCATAATAACGATATTATTACAATGATATTACTATTTAATATTAAATCAATTTTTATTATATAAGATTAGATAACCTTTTTAATAAATTGTGAAGCATAAATATGGAAACCTCGATGCTTATAGCCAGTTGTTGGGCTCCACAAAATATGTTAACTTTACATTATAGTTTGTTATTTGTAGTACTCGCAATGCAATTACATTTCCTCTTTATCTTATTATTCATATTTTTCTGATGTAAGTTCTCTTTTGCTAATAACTCAATTGGCTATATTTAGTTTTTATAATATCAGAGATTAGAATATTCTCTTCTATTTTTAAAATGTTGACATAATTTTCTTATAAAATATATACACATAGCGACAATAGTATATACTTCAGTTCAACTCAAACTTTAGCTTGAAGTCATTTAGAGTGAGGTCCTTTCTACAGTAGAATGATGATATAGTGATTACACAGTCTAAAAGTCAAAGAATAAATTTTTACAAAGAAAAATAATTTAATATGTTAAATTAAGAACTAATTTATAAATTATACATGGGCAATGCAGATAGCTATAAAAAGTAAGGAATATATCTTTATAAAAAATCCATAGTGAGCGACCAACTACAATCATCCTAATTTAAGCATAAATAATTACTATTCTAGTTACTAATTTGATACGCGTAACTGTGGAATAAATCTCCAGCAAAAAATAAGAACTGAGATTGTATTATGCTGTAGGTAAATAAATAAATATTATTAGAGCTCATCTTTATATTAAATTTAAAAATAATAATTTAAATTATTAAGCACCAAATATTAGCTCATGTGAGAAATTAAAGTAACCTATGGTCTATATAAGTTTATAGTCAAACAATCAAATGTATTAAAATTATGATGCCCACAATCAAAATTATATATATGATGGGTTCACATTAAATATGATTTATAAAAATAGTACATTAAAATCAATTTTTTTAACCACTATACAAGTTGTCTGAAATTTTTTACATATATAAACTATACTGCCTAGGAATAGTGATGTGCGCACTTAAATATGGTCTAATAATCTTAAGAACGACTTACTCTTCAATATCATTATTAATTGACATATCTGTGTATTACACTGAAAACACGATGGAAATTTAAAAAATTACAAATTAAAACAAACACCCTCAAAAGTTTTAAAAATTATAAAAAATACCCTAAATTTTTATAATTTACAACTACACAAAACTATTAAATATTATATTAAAATCAAGAAATTATAAAAAATCATTGAAAAATTTTAAACTTTGGAGGGATAATTTACAATGTACTAAACTTTTAAGGGTGTTTTTTTTTATAAATTTTAAATTTAATAGATTTTTAATTAGTTATGTTATTTTTAAAAAAGTTATGAGTAATATTTACCATGAACAATTTTTTCTAAACCTATACTTTTAAAAGGTGTATAATATTTTACAAAATTTTAATTTTCTTGGGGTTGTTAGTAATTTTGCATATTTATTTTAGTGTCTACAGGTTATAAATTCTCATGGTATTTTTTTTATAAATTATGAATTTAGGGTTTTTTGTAATTTTTTAAACTTATAGGTCTTTTCTACAGATTGTAAATTATTTATAGACTATTTATAATTCCTATGCTTTCCATTTACTAATGAATTTAAAACTCTCAGGGTGTTTTTTGTAAATTTTGAATTTTAAAGGTTTGTTTATAATTTTTAAAACTTTAAGAGTATTTTTTATAAATTATAAATTATGTAGGGGATATTTGTAATTTATATATTTTCACTATACTGTTAGGTTAGAAATTATTAGGATTTTGGTAAATTTTATAATTTTGACTGTTTTATTTTACAATTTGTAAAAAGTTCAGAGTGTGTATTGTAAATTTTATAAAATTTTGGGGTTGTTTCTGTTATTTGTTGGTTTTTAGTGTGTTTATAGGTTTAAATTTTTAATGTGTATTTTATAAATTTTGAATTTTAGGGGTGTTTTTGCAATTTCTAATACTTATAAGATGTTTTTTCCAAAGTCAAAAACCTTTTAATTTTTAGCTAGCATATGTTTTTTAGATTCCTCACTAAATTAAAATAAGTAAAATTTATAATTTTTAAAATGCTTTAATAAAAATTTAAATTTATAGGAGTGTTTTTGTAATTATAAAAACTTGGAGAATATTTTTTACAAAGTCCAAAAAGTTTTTAGGTGCTGGCTAGCATACGCTTTTTAGATTTCTCTATTAACTGAAATAAGTAAAGAATTTAAATTATATGAAACATATCTTTTTATCCAATAACATGTTAACTCACATTATGAATATAATAAATCATTTTGTTACCAATTCAAAGAAGATATGATAATTAGAATAGATTAGGATAAAAATATAATATTCAAAAAAAGCTAAGCGTAATATAGACCATAGAAAAATTTTCCCGAATTTGTACTTTTAAAAGAAGTATATGATTTATAATAGTTTTGACTTTTTAGCAAATAATGTTACGTAGGTTAATATTCACGATTTCCTAAGCTATAACCCCATAATTTTTTGTCATTTTTACTCGTTTTGACCCATAGGAAAATATTTTCTGGGTCAAAATTTATGATCTCGTGAGCTCTTAATTTTTAGTTTTTTTAGCTTTCGGCAAAAAGTTTCATGGAGACCAAAATCATGATTTCCTAAGATGTAAACCATGATTTTTGTAATTTCTAAGCACGATCACCAGCCGACGGTAGATTTAATTACTTCCTTTGACGTGGAAAAGTTAAAATTTCTAGAAATAGGATTTGAACAATACTTTAATAGTCAAAATTAGTTCAATAGCGAATCAATCACGCTACTTCAAGGTTTGACAATAGTAATTTATTAGATGACAAGGATCATGATGCCATCTTGAAATCCAATTTGAAAGTATACTGGTATAATCATGATCTCAGATCTCAATTATGCAAATAAAAAAATTGAAATTATTGGCGGAGAAGAAGGGACATCAAGTAATTAATGTCTATATATTTCTCTCTAAGCTGTTCATTATGCATTACCATAATTGTTTAGCAATTAGCATGACAGTTTATATGTTACGTGATCTGCATACTTTTTTTTATTGTTATGGAACTTGATCTACGTAACATTTGAGTCTATAATTATTTCTCTTATATTCAAGGGTTAATTGTGGATAGATCGCCAACGGCATTGTTTGGTAAAGGACTAAAGAGAAGGGACTTAAGGGGATTTAAACTCTTCTTAACCATCTAAACGGGTTAATTTGTTCAAAGCGTTAACAAACAATTTACAAGGGTTAAAGTTAGTTAACCCCTCATTTAGAGGGGATTAACAAATCCGCCTAAAGAGGAGGGTTAAGAGTTACTGTTTCCGGAAATAAGAAATAAAACTTTCAAGAAAAATTTAGGATATTTATGGCAACCAACTTCCTTAACCCTTCTTCATTCGCCAAACACAAGGGACTTAATCATTCATATTGACCGTCAAAATCTAAACGGAATTAAATTATTTTTAACCTCCGTGAAGGGTTAACTAAGTTAATCATTCTCCTCAATCCTTACTCTCTTAACCACCATTACGTATAGTTCTAATTGTTCGGATAAACTCCTAACAGTGAATTTTTTCACCCTTGAAAGGAGTCAAAAGTTTTATAGAGACGGACAAATCCCCTACAATTCTATTGGTCTTTATCCTCTCAGTAGCAAATTATTTTGGCTTAAAAGGGAAAAAAGAAAAAAAAAGTTCACTAAGAAAGCCCATCCGTTTTGATAAATTACTATTTAGGAAATGTAATTGCATTGCGAGTACTACAAATAACAAACTATTTAGGAGAGTGCTAAACCCCAATTAGAAGCCTTAAACCCTAAAATTTTATGTCCTAAATAGTCAGGGTTGGCAACCCCGACTGTTTAGGAGGGTGATTAGGCTGACGTGACGAAAAACGAGTCGGTTTTGATAAATAAAAAAAATAGGTCGATTTTAAAAATAAAAAAACTAAAGTGAGACTGTTTTGAAAAATTGTTGTTGGGCAATTCGACACGAGGTGTATCCGCAATTAACACAAAGAATAAGGTATGTAAGAACTAATTACAGGCCTCAAAGTGATCGAATCCAACTCCCCAGTAGCCAGTCAATCAAGGCGCTTATTAAAAAAGAGCAAAAAAAATCCCCGCTGCTTTCTCCCCTCTCTCTCTCTCTCTCTCTCTCTCAAGTCCCCCCAATCACCGTTCTCTCTTCGAACCCAACCAAATCTAAACCCAAAAACAATGGAGAACCCCACCGCTTCATCATCGATCTCCCCACCATCTTCGTCCCCAATCACCTTCTCCTCCTCAACCGAACCCGACCCATCATCAAACCCACAACCCACCAGCGCCTCCAACAGCCTCACCAACAGCAAAGGCGGCATCTTGAGTTCCTCAGAGCAGACAACCAACAACGATGCCGAGTTCGGGTTTCAGCGGGCCGAGATGGGCCAGGCCTCGCTCGTGGGCACGGTCCAGATCTACGAGCGGCATCTCTTCCTCTGTTACAAGACTCCTGGGGTCTGGCCCTCGCACGTGGAGGCGTCGGAGTCTGATCGGCTCCCGAGGTTGCTCGCTGCTGCGCTCAAGAGTCGGGTCAAGGATATCAAGAAGAAGGTGAGGAGTTTTTGGGTGTTGGGTTTTTGTTATTTCCTATTTGTTTGCTTCTTGAGGGGTGAAAGATTCGATTTCGGATTCTGGATGAATTAATTACTGGAGCGAAAATTTTTTTTTTGAAGGAAAGAGGGGCAAGACGTGATTTTGGATGAGGACAAGGCATGATAAATCTAGTTATTATTACTATTATTATTATTAGCTTTTGTTTTGATTGTGAGATGAAGTTGGAGTTTTGGATGGAATGTTTATATGTTAATGGGCTAATTTGTTTAGGATAAAAGACTATTCTTTGATTGGAATTTTGTGTGCGAGTGGATCGAAGGGATAGAAATCTTTTTTATTATTATCTGTTTTAGGAGAGATTTGTCTTAATCCCGAGATTTATCGCAGCTCTTTTACGAGTGTTTTATTACAGCAATCATAAAGCTTTTGTCCTGAATATTTGCGGTTGGATACATGCCTGTTTTTCACTGCTCACTCCTTTAAGGACCACCTCTTATGTTAGTTACATTTAACTACTCTTACATCCTTTTTAACTCACTCAAAGCCTGGCTACATGTTCATTTCGGCGTACGTCAACCAACTTTGTTTATATGGACAACATCCTTAATTGCAGGATCACGGTTGATATATTAATCCTAGGCAAGGTATTAAATATAGGATATCGAGGAAATATTGGACAGTCAAAATCCGTATCGTATTGCAAATATTGGGGAAATATCATAAATATATAGTAAATAACGGAGTGCCATATCGAAGGATGTGCATATATAATATAATATCCTAAAATGCAATTTAAGCATACTTAATAAAATCTGTGCATATAAAAATGTAATTAATATATGTTTAAGATCATTAACTAATTATAGAAACTTACTTAGGGAAAACGGCCTACTAGAATTTGCTTTAAAACTTCATAGGGCTAAAATTTTTGCTATAAAATATAAAAGAAATTTTGCAGAACTATATTGTTTTGCAACAAGCTATATAAAAGGACATATCGGCCATGTTAGGGACAATCACCAAAAGTTACCAAAAGGGGTAAAAGATATTGAGCCCATATCATTTTGCAGCAAACTTTATAAGAGGATACATCGGCCTATCTATTGGCTATATCAGGGATATTTAGAACAATGATCCAAAGTAGCTAAAATGATAAGCTCTAGTATTGCTTGAGCATATGTAAATTAATCCTAACATTGTATGTATACTTCATATATTCAACTTTTGTCAAGCTAATTTTTAGTCTTTTGCATCCAAGGCTTTCCTTCACATTTCTTGTTATGAAACTATGTCATTTCATCAACTATGAAATACCATCTACAAGCATGAATATTACTAGAAAGTTCATTGATCACTGGTGCAAATAGATAAGGACTAGATGTGAATCATCGATGCAAACCTATGATGATATTGAGTATTTTTTTTATCTCCGGTATCTGTTTGCTGCTAGTACATCATTTGTAGTCTTTAATGGCATATATATAACCATTACACACCTTTTTTCTTTTCTCCCAATTATGAGAGGACTATCATAAGATCTTTCAAAATTAATGAAAACTATGTTTTGTCCTTTTCTTCCTTAACTCTTAATTAGTTTGTTCACAAGTAAGCATCTTCGATGGTCAACCAAAATCCTTGAAAGAAAATCAAAATTGAGTTGTAGACATTCACTTCTTTTCTTAAACTTATCTGTGTTATTATCTTCCACGCTTTTGTTGTTTGGATCATAAATTTGCATCATGACTTGTACGACTTTGCATTTCTCATTTATTCTTATACTCTTAAGCTATTGTCAGGTCACGGTCCGCGATGCTCCAATCAGTACACGCTCTTTAATTTCCAGAATTTTATTTAACATCTGCCAACTTATACTATCACGTTATGTTCCAGTAGATTCCAAATTTCAATTAAAGATATTAGATTCTATAAGTGTCAGTTTCCATTTTTTAGAGCATATCTAATTTCATAAATTATAACTTCTTTTGAATAATATCCATAGCTCAATTGTGTCTAAATCACTTTTCCTAGCTTATCTTTTTGTGGAATTCTCATAGATCAACTAATGGGAGTGGTTGGATCATGTGTTCGCAATAGTGGGTATAGCCTGGTTGGGTTTATAAATATTCATGAACAAGAATATATAAGGCATATGGTTAAAGAAGTTCAAGAGTAGACGTGGTATGTATGGTTAAATAAGCTCAGTTCTGAGACATTATTATGAGTTTTCTTCTTTTGGGTCATAGTGAATTTTCAACAACATAAAATAGAAGCAGAAAGATGCATGAATTGATATTGAGAAGCAGAGTATATCGGTAAACAAAAGGAAAAAAAGAAGAGCATCAAATTTTTGAGAGATTGTGATGCTTAGGACAGATAGATGAGTCCATCAACTAATGTCATCAGGTATGTTCCTTCAGATACATGCTTCTGCTAATACTGCATGCTGCTACTATTGGCTATTACTTGCTCCTGCTAGTGCTTTCTGAAGCTGGACTTGTGTTATTTTACTCTTTAAGTATAGTGTTTTGTTTCTTCATCCCTGTATACTTGTTTTTCTTTCTGGAATTCTTGGACCATTGCATGCTGCTCTTTATTATTGATTGATTCGGATCATGATTTTGTTTCATTCACCAGGACTGTTTAACTTTTTCTTTTTTTTTCTCCTCTCTCTTCAGACTCGCTTGACCATATGTGAAGGAGAGGATGGCACTGAGTCATCAAATGGAGATGTGCTGATCTTTCCGGACATGATCAGATATAGGTCAGCTGTCACATCATAAACTTTTTACTGAGTGCTCCGGAGTAAATTGTTCAACACCTGCTAAAACTTGGCATGCTATTGTATTTCATTGATTGGCAGGCGTTTGACACACTTCGATGTTGATAATTTTGTCGAAGATGTGCTTGTAAAGGAGACTGAGTGGCTTCCTGGTGCTGGCGAGGTACTAACAGGTTCCTATGTTTTTGTTTGCGCTCATGGAAGCCGAGATCGAAGGTGTGGTGTTTGCGGACCTGTTCTTATTGACAAATTTAAGGAAGAAATAAGCTCACGCGGTCTTCAGGGGAATGTGTCTGTGAGCCCTTGCTCGCATGTTGGTGGCCATAAGTATGCAGGAAATGTCATAATATTTAGTCAAAATGCACATGGAGAAGTGACTGGTCATTGGTGAGAAGAACTTTCTTCGAAATATCCGAATTGTTTTTAATTTTAATAACGTGTTTGTTGCATTCCTTGTTATGTTTTCTGGTTAAATCTGCTCTTTTTCTTTCATTTGACTGTAACTATTGGTTATCGGGCTTGTATGGGCAGGTATGGATATGTTACTCCAGATGATGTACCTTTACTGCTTGAACATCACATTGGGAAAGGAGAAATTGTTGACCACCTTTGGAGGTACTATGCTCTTGATTTGTCCTTTGCCACATGAAAGTTTTAATCTGCTTTGGACATAAACCTCTTTCAAGTAGAGTTTCTAATGAGATGTCCGGCAGTTTTATAGTGAACTTTAATGCTTATTCTTTCTAAAGGAAACCATATTTCCACATATGAGCATTTGTGTGCAAGGTTTTAAATATTGGATATCGTGAAAATATCGGATGACCAAAATTTATATCGGATTGCGGATATCGGAGAAATATCGGGGATATGTGGTAAATATCGGAATGCCATAATGGATATTTGCATATATAGTATAATGCTTTAAAATGTCATTTGAACATACTTAATGAAATCTAAGCATATCAAATGTAAATAATATATGTTTAGGATCACTATTCAACCTTGTAAAACAAACAAAAGTACAAGTCAACGGTGCAACATTTAATCTGGTTTATTAGGGGAAAATGTCATTTGATATAATAGGAAAAAATCATAATATCTCGCCCAAAAATTGCTAATCACGGTATGTTGTTTTGTGACAAGCCATATAAAAAGATATATCGGTCCACATATCGGCCATATCGGGGGTATATCGCCCAAAATAGTCAAAGAGTGGTGAATGATATTTAGAGATCATATCGGTTGCGACAAACCCTGTAAAAGGATATATCGGGCCATGTCGGGGATATTTAAAACAATGTTTGTGTGTACACACGATTCTACATGCTATTTTAGCATGAGAGTGCATAGTTGATTTCTTCATTACAATATGCTTTGCTATTAGTGATATTTATTCCAAAATTTGCTCCATAGGTACTAAGGTTGTGTTTGGCAACTTTTCATAGAGCTAGACTTGTGTTTGGCAAAAACTTGCCCAATTTCTTTTAGTTTAGTTTCCCTTTCTTAACTAGGTTAGGATTGGACCACCTCTCACCCACTCTGGATCAATCCTAACATGGTTAGGGAATTAACATGGTTAAGGGGTTATTGCGGAACACACACTAAAATTCTGTATTTCTTTCATTTAGTGTAAAGTTCAATTGGATCATAATTGTGCAATTAGAAGACATGGGCGAAAAAAGTATAGTAGAAATAAGAATGTTATGATGATCTTTTAGATATACCTAAAAGATCGGTAAGGATGAGTTCACATGCATAGGACGCCAAAGGTTTCACCTATCAAGATAAAATGAAAGAATCAATTGGGATTGTTTGATCATGTAGTCATGCACAATGGATTCCACTAGATGCATTGTTAGGTGAAGTGACAAGATTATAGATAATAGTGGCAAAGGGGAGTAGATCTAGAGGGTGTTTGGGGGAGTGATGGGTGATGCGGCGAGGGCTCTGATGCGAAAGCTGGAGAACTAAAAGAGAGGACTTAGATAAATATGTTTTATGCCCAAGGGCTTTACACCCCGGTGAAGAATAATCTTCACATCTAAGGGCTTCGCACCCCACTAGAGAATAGGAATCACACCAAAAGCTTTCACACCACACTGGAGAATATGCTTTACACTTAAGGTCTTCACACCAATCAAGCAACTCACATGCTCGACAAAAGATTTCATATCTCAAGATCTTTCCATTATTATTCATCATCATATTTTCCTCATGGAGGATACATCGTATTTATAGAAAAGAAAAACATCTACACATTTAAGAAAGGAAATTAAAATCCTAATCAAATCAAAACCTACTAAAAGTAAAAGATGCAATCAAATAAAATTCTAACTAAACTAAAAGCACGTATCATAATCAAATCTTAAATAAATCCTAACTTAAACATAAGATTTCAAAGAATAAGATCAAACTCTAATAAAATCTTTATCAAATCTTCATCAGAATCAGATATTGATCCGTGAGCTTATTTTTAGAAGATTTTTTTTTTTTACGTTTAAGCTATGTTAGCTTTTGGTGGCTCTTAACTTTTTAAGCTATATTAGCTTTTAATGGCTTTGGGTTGAGTGGTTATTTTTTCGTTTAAACTTAGCTTATTTGGATAAAGCTTATAAGATTGTTTTTAAAAAGTTAAAAAAGCATAACTTTTATTAAATAGGCTTAAAAGCTAGCTTATTGAAATTTTACCAAATATGTAGATATATGCAAAAGCTTAGCTTAAAAGCCACCACAAAAAAAAAGCTTTGCTAAATACCCTCCTAAAGGAATATGGTTGGAAGCAATTGAGGACGTACTAATAAGTAACTTACAGGAGGATAACCTCTAATAGAAATTAACTTACTAGAGGATAATCTATGACAGAAATGAATGGAACAGTAAGAATAATGTAGCCAAAAATTTCAGATAGAGGCTATGTTGTTGTTTAAAATTCTAATGGAAAGGTTAAATACCATTGTATGATCCAACCGCAGGGGCCAAATGGGTTTATCAGAAGAGGACCAGAAGAAAGCTCAGCAACTCAGACTTCAGCTTAATGGAACAACCCAAGAGAAGGTTTCTCAAGGACCAGTTGAAGCAACTGAGAGCATCGCTAACGGCTCAGCACTAGAGGCATCTGGATGTTGCCAAGGCCGTGGTAATGTCAGCTGTTGTCAGAATGGGACGGCGGAAGAGAAACTTGAAAAAAATTGTGAAGACGAGCAAAAGGCTGAAGATGGCGTCACTAAGAAAAGCAGCAAACAAAGCAAGGGTAAAGCTCGGAAGATTTGTGGCGGTCCCAAGTGGTTTCAGAGCTGGGAACGCGAGGACACGTATGCAGCTCTTGCTGTTGTTGCAGCTGTGGCTTCTGTCGCTGTTGCCTATAGTTGCTATCGGCAGTTGAAGTGAGATGCTGCGGATAAAGTCTGTCTATAATAATCACTCGAAGTTTATACTTACTGAGGTATTGTAATTCTCTACTTAGTATTGTAAGAAAATAATAATAATAATAATAATAATAACATAGTTGCCTGCCAACAATGTAGTTTTGTTATTTATGTTTTTTTTAGTTGGAATGATAAACATCTGTATACAGTATGGATGAATACTCTTGTACACAGTGTTATGTCTAATTTATGCTAGAAATGTTTGAAAGACTTTCATAGATGTGTGAACTATGTTGATAATCCTCTTGTGATTGTACGGCGTGATTTAGGGAATTTATTTGCTGCTAATGAGACGGAAACTTTTGTTTGCGGTTGAATAAGGGGCTGTTTGGAAAGAGGTTTTTTAGGGGGAAAGGGCTGGAAAGCCTGCCAAAACCCTGCCAAAAGCTTTTGGCAGGCTTTCCACCCAAATCGCCTCTAAAAGAGGCGATTTTATTTAGAGGCGATTTGGGTGGAAAGCCTGTCAAAAGCTGCACTTTTGGCGGGCTTTCCCCTTATCCAAATCGCAAACAAACAGCCCCCAAGTAAATTAGTGGTAAAATTCTGAACTGTTCATAATGGTTCTACATACTTTGATGATTTAACATGTGACAGATTGAATTGGGGCCTGAATTACAATTTTGATCCTGAGAACAAATCATAGCAGTTGATGAAGAGATTTTACTTATTCCCTTGTCTATTGGTTTAAGTTAAACAGCACTTGAAGGGTTTACATGACTTTACACTTCATACTCTTATCTCAAGTAAGAGATTGGCTATTGGTTAAGTATCTCAAGTTAGATAGCATTTATATACTCCTATCTTTTTTTTTTTTTTTTTTTTTTTTTAGATACACTATTGTTTTTTTTTCTGGGTAATTATTAGGAAATCCCCTTCAAGTTTGACAATTTATTATGAAACCCCGTAACTGTTACTTTTTTGTCACGACACCACCAGTTGTTAAATAAATTGTTATTGCAACACCCATCTCTCCTCTCTTTACATCAAATCCAGGCAACTATGGCCACTAACAAATAGAAAATTAATAGAACATCAATGTAATCTCTTCAACCCCTTGATTTTAGACTCTATTTGGTGTAACTTTTGAGTTTCAAATATGTCTTGCCTTTGCGAGAAAGGAAAAGTAAATTAAGAGGAAGAAGAAGAGGGTAGTTTTTAGAATATAACTAGAGTTTAACAATTTTTTTTAACAACAAGGTATTTTGTAATGGAAAATAATAATAGTAAATTAGTAATATTAGAGGGTTTCATAATAAATTAGGGGCACACCCTCTACCACACTCCCAACCACACCATCTCTCTCGCTACAGTGCACGGGATCCAAATGAGATTTTAAAAATTAAAATCTCATGTGGGCCCCGTGCACTGCAACTGAGAGAGGTAGTATGGTTGGAAGTATGATAGAGGGTGTGCTCCTATCTTATTATTTTTAAAGTTGCACCTTACCACTTTCTTAGTTACCTACAAATATCCATGTGACATACCAAAGGAGAAACTTGAAGCAAAAAATAACTTTGAAGCGAACTCTAAAATGTTCCTCGTGAAAATTATTTTTTTTTCGTCACGCAAATGAAGAAAGAAAAAGAAGGAAGCAAATGAGATGGTAGCCACTTCTTTTTTCTTCTGTCGCGATCTTTAAACAAATGCATCCAATAATGTCTTTTTTTTTCACGCAACTTGATCAAATCTGACTGGCTAGGGTCTTATTCTCATCCAATCAGGTCTTTGTCTTGGATTTTAGCTGCCGCTGCTGTTACTTTGATTCTTTTGTTCCTTGATCACAGATCTCACTCGTCATAAAAAGTGTTGTCAATATTGGATTCTCTGTGTGAGCTTCAATGCATCCCATTTCGGCATTTTCATCTGGGTTATTACATTATGTGCCTCAGAAACGAGGAAAAAGTATCATATAGATTGCGGTCCATGGCAGATGTGCATTTAAGGGATATTGATCCTCGGTACAAATCACGAAGTTTATCATTTAGGTGTACATTTAATGCCAAAGTAGTAGTTCAAGTTCGGGTATTGTTCCTTCAAATCTCATGGACTTGAGGAATTTGGAGTTCTTTCAATAATAAAAACATAACTGATCTCTTGTAACAAACAGTTAAAATTGTGTTCCTCTCCCAAGTAATTCCAATACTGGAAGCAGCACAATGGAAATAACCAATACAAAGTTTCAATGTTCTTACAGAAACTTAAGCGGGAAGAATACTTGATTTTGCTTTACTTCATTGTGAATGCAAATAGAGCATATGAATCAAGGGAGAAAAAAGCCCCCATCTTTGAATCATATCGTAAAGATTAAAAATATTTCAGAATTCATTGAGGAATACAGACCTTAAATTTGAATTTCTCCCCGTAAAAAGAACAGCCCTCACGAAATCTAACATTTCCACATGAAAACTAAGCTGCTGTGATGCTGAGAAAAAGATACAAGAAGCTCCACACCTTCCATATTTAAAGAGAAGGATCAAGCACTAAAAGAAATCAAACTCCAGATAGTTATCAGGTGCTTTCTGATCACCAACAGCAACTTTTTCACCAGAAGATTCAGCCACAGGTGCTGCTACTGTCTGAGTCCACTCGATCTCCACAGGTTTTGGGATCTCTGGAGGACTTGCGCACCGTATCAAAGCCCAGTTAACTCCCTCAAAGAACGGGTGCTGCTTTATCTCTGTAGCCCCCCGTTTATATGCCAACCGATGCTGTGGCTCCTTCACCAGCAGTCCTCTTATCAGGTCCCTCGCTGAAAAGCTCACCATTGGTGATTCAGGAAACCTCAATGGCTGCCCGACTACATTAAACAATGTAGCTCTATTGCCCGAACCCTTAAAGGGAGTCTTACCAAACAAAAGCTCATACAAGAAAATACCAAAGGTCCACCAATCCACTGCACTCCCATGGCCCTCACCTTTGATGATCTCAGGAGCTAAGTACTCGTGAGTTCCAACAAAGGACATTGAGCGTGCATTGGTGGGTTCTGCTATAAGCTCAGGCAACGGGCTGACTTGGTTACCTATTTCAGGTTTGGGCTTGGACTTGGGCTTAGTTTTGTCTTTCTTTGATTTGGAAGAGAAGAGCCCACGAGGAGAGAAGCATGTTGTGGGGCCCGCGCAGGCGGGTTGGATGCAGGAGGGGGGCTCGATACAGGCGGGCTGAGCGCAGTAGACTGGAGCGGGATTTATTGTGGTGTGGCGAAAGGAGTCGGAATTAGGGTTTGAGGATTTGATTAGGGTTGGACTGACTGCACAACGAAGAGAAAGGTCGAAGTCAGAGAGCATGATATGGCCATCTTCACGGACGAGGACGTTTTCGGGCTTGAGATCTCGGTAGATGATGCCGAGCATGTGAAGGTATTCTAAGGCTAGAAGGACCTCCGCTACGTAGAACCTGAAATTTGAAGGATGGAGGGAAATGGTTAAAATCAAGACTATGTGATGCAAATTATAGAGATGAAATGGAGAATATTGTCAATGTAAAGAGGAGGGTGGTGATGATAACTTGTTCTTGATATATCTGTTCCCCATGAAGTGATGTACGGTAATTTTTCTCCTGTATTGTAGTTACTTTGCTTACTAAACTAGGATTATGTTCTGACTCCTGGGCGTATATATCGTTCATTTAGGTTTACGCATGTAGTCCTTAACAAGTTTAGAAAAGAGTTGCAATGCCTAATATATGTCGAAAGAGTTGGAAAACATTGGAAGAATGCTCCAATCATTTATTAAGTGCCAAAAGGGGTATTTACAGTAAACTACAAAGCAACACTAGCAAAGTGAAGACACGTTTGTGAAGCGTCGGAGACATCTAAGAGTATCAAAGAAGAATCTTTGATAGTATATATCCAGCATGGTTCATCATAAAGACGTCCCTAAACCAAGAATTTGTGCAAAAATTCTAAAGTGAGCAAATCCTTGAGCAATCAAATACTTATGAGTCTGTGGTATTGTCTTTTTCGTGTGTAAGAAACAAAGAAATGATATAGAAACGAAATTTGAATGGTCTTGTGTAAAAGCTAATTACACAGATCAGATATCAACTCCAATGTTAATAAAACATCATCAATACACCTACAGGTCATGCACTACGCAAACTTAACCCTAGCACAACTATCTTGGCATCAAAATATCTCATATATAGAGCAACATTTTACCCTCAACCATATTTCATAAAATATCTACTATCTATTTTAATTTTCTATAGAAAATTTGTGTTAGTTAAAAATAGAAAATCATTGATCTTGGCCTTTGTCATGAATTCAATTTCACATGACAAGGAAAACTCAGCCATCTGACTAGAATGATTGAATGTGGAACTGCATTTGTTTATGAATTATACTAGAGGCTTCAGTAATCTAATGGTTCTGTTAGAACATGTTCTCAATTGTAAATGGCAAGTTTCCTGATGGTTAATATGCTTTATAAACAATCAAACTATCTTAATTGGTGTTCTCTCATTTTATCCTCAGTTGGAGCATGTTACAATTTCTTGCGAATGCACTCATTTCATTTGCTGTAAAAAATACATCAAAATGATAGAATTAATACATAATCTAGCCTAGAATGAAAGGCAAGCCCCATAGGAATATAGAAGATTCACAACATGTTGACAAGTGAGCAAAATATAATCATATAACAAAATCAAATATTAATTAAATAGAGATCAGGTCAAAGATATGCGTACTTTACAGCTTGTTCTGAAAAATGCTTCCCAGGTTGCCTCTGCCGAAGAGTATGTAGATCTCCACCCGGGCAGTATTCCATTACTAAACATGAGAATTTATCAGTCTCAAAATGAGTATATAATGTCGGAAGGAATGGATGATCCAAGCATTGCAATATCTCCCTCTCAGTTTGAGCCCTAAGAAGCTTTTTCCGGCTTGCCAAAGAGCCCTTGTCCATGACCTTCATCGCGAAACAACTCTTCATTCCGCTCAACTCTGACAAATATACACTACCTATATCACCACAGCCCAACCTCTTTAATAGCCGAAAATGATTTAAACCAAGAATCCCTTCTCTAGCTCGAACCATTTGAATTGCTTCCCATTTCGAGTCGTTTGCTTTATGGGGTTTACTAACGCTACTCAAACTACTACATGAGCTCTCATCACTGATGTTACTGCTAGTACTGGGTCGGCACATGCTACTCTTTCCACTTCCACTAAAATCAGCCCGATCGCTGATTTTAGCACCTCCACTGGTTTTTGTCAGGCTACTGGTTCCATCACTAACTTTAGCAGAAGCTGAGCTATCCTTTACACTGTTCTGCTCAAACTTTTTCATTTCTTGGTCTTCATTGACTTCCACAGAATCTTCTTGTTGAGAAGACTGTTTTATACTTTCATCAGAAGTAGGTTCGGAAGAACTAGTAGGCTTGGAAGAATTATTATCAGATAACGTGGACAAGGTGTCAGCAGACCCTTTTGGACTGTAATTGGGTTTTTCGCAGTCTAATGCCTCAGTGGCAGTGTTCTCTGGTGTATTTTGATTACTGGGTTTTGGCAATTCTTTTGGTTGCATAGGTACTGACTTGCTTGGCTTAGAAATTTGTGAAGGTGAAGGGTTTTGAGAACCAGCCTCTACTGTTTGGTTGATGGTTGTTTTGAAATTTTTATGAGAGGTGGGTTTTTGAATAGACTTTGAAGCCATTGATGTAATCGATATTTCTTTATTTGTCTCAGTGTAAATCAGCTACCAATAACCTCCAAGAACTAGGACAAACTAAACACCAATTCATTTCTGAGGTAGACTCAATCAATACTAGATCCATCCAAGGAGGGGACTCTGCAATTAAATAAGAACTCGGAATAATCATAAATTAAGCAAGAAAAACAGACCATAGCTTTCTCAACATAACAATATGTCAATTAATAGAGGAAAAACCAGAAACATTGTCCAAAACTAAGACGTAAACAAAGTAATGACTGGAAAAATGAATAACTAAAGAAGAAAGCAACAAATGAAAAGAAATACAATTCCATCTTGGATGTAACTAATCAAACCATACAATTTGATCTAATGACAAAACCTCATAGGTCTAAGATCAAAGAAGCAAAGCAATATTCATTAATGTCTCAAGATCCAACATGCAACGCAATTAGTTTCTCACAACTCTCCCATCAATACTTACATGAGTGAATTATTTTGCATAAGTAAAAAAAGAAATCATTAAACATTTGAATTGGGCATGGAAGTAATTACAGATTATGAAGTTAATAAAGGACTAGGAACAAAGTAGATCCATACAATCACATCAAGATCCAATTTTGCCCAATAAAGAGGAAGATGAACCAGAACCCATCGTAGAAAGATGAGAAAAATGTGAAATCAATTGATCAAGATCAAATTTTTGGGTAAAGGGCAATAATCAAACTACTTCAAACTATCATAAACGCAAAAGTTAAAAGATTTCATGAATGCCAACATAGATCTCATCATCATAGATCCAACAGAAAATTGCAAACAATTAGAAAAAAAAACATAAAATGA